CTTGCCTGGATTATTACAATAACCTCATAACTATTGGACCTGCTGCTGGCTTGCTCATCCTTAAACTCTCTCCCTCGCTCCTTGCGCTCCTGTCTTCCCCTCTCCTCCTTCTCTCCCTTTCCCTCCCCCTCACCCCTCTGTCTTCCACAGAACCACAGAGGAATTCTTTTAAAACCTAAATCAGACCTGGAGGATCTTCTGCTCAAGAACCTGCAACGCGTCCCAGCTCACTAAGAAAGAAGCCACATTCTTTACAGAACGCGGCCCCTTCTCTCTTGGCTCTCCCCCTGCCTCCCTCTGCTCCAGTCGCACAGGCTGCCTTACACCCTCCAACACGCCAGCCCTGCTCCCGCCTTGCTCCAGCCATACCCTCTGCCTGGAATACTCTCTCCCCGGGTATCTGCTTGACCAAATCCTTCACCTTCTCAACGTCTTTGCGTAAACATCACGTTCTCAATGAGTCTTCCCAGACCCCCTATTCGTACAGCAGCCTGGCCCAAGATCACGGTCAATCCCCCTCACTACTCTGCTGGTACGCAGAGCCCTGATCACCTTCTAACACGCCACACAACTGACTCATTTACGGCTTATTGCATATTGTCTGTCTCTCCCTGCTAAAACGTCGGCTCCATCAGCACAGGATTCTCTTGGATTTGTTTGTTCTCCTGTTTTACCAACTGCTTAGAACAATGCCCGGCACATGGCATATAGCACCTGCTCAGGAAATATTTATTTCATGAGTGAAGGAACCACCCTTATTCATTTCTGACACAGCACTCTCCCCTCCTGAAAAGATGCCATTCATTTGCTTACTTGTTTAATGCCTTACCTTCCCCACTGGACTCTAAGCCACAGGAGGGAGAAACTTCCCACCTTTATCCCTGGTCTTCAGCATTTTTTTTTTTTTTTAAGATTGGCACCTGAGCTAACATCTGTTGCCAATCTTTTTTTTTTCTTTTTCTTCTCCCCGAAGGGCCTCCCCCCCAGCACCCCCCTTCACATAGTTGTTTATTCTAGTTGTAGGTCCTTCTGGTTGTGCTATGTGGGACGCGGCCGCAGCATGGCCTGATGAGCTGTGCTAGGTCCGTGCCCAGGATCCAAACCTGCAAAACCGTGGGCCGCCGAAGCGGAGGGCATGAACCCAACCACCTGGCCAAGGGGCCGGCCCCAGGAAGCATTTTTTAATTGGATTTCAACTCAAACAGAGAGAAAGGGATAACAGAGCAAGACTCAGGATTCTTGGGGAGGGTGCCTCTACCACCACTACTCCCCCCACGGCCCGGGGGGCTGGGTGTGCGGGTGTCACTGACCGGTGCAGGATGAGCAGCAGGTGGAGGAGGCCAATGACGAAGACGCAGCACAGGTAGCTGACCGCCAGGTGCGGGCGGGGTGGGTAGAACCCATAGAAGAGAGAAGACCATTCTAGAAAACTCTGGGGAGGGCAGGGTAGGGGTCACATGGGGCTGGGTAGAGGCAAGGTTCAGGGAGCTGGGCGGTTGGGGGGGCACTGGGGCTAAAAGGGGGGGGGTCTCCCAGCGACCCAGGCGCGCACCTCTCCAGAGAGCAAGCTGAAGAGCTGGGTGGGGAAGGCGATCAGGCCCTGGGGGCGGGGGTCGTAGGAGCCGCAGTGGGAGGAGGTGTCAGGACCAGGCGGACCCGGGGGATCTCCTTCCACCCAGGTGGGCAGCAGCGTCATGCAGAGCTTGAGCACCGAAGCCAGCACGTTGAGCAGCAGCAGGAAGCGCAGCAGAGAGAAGTAGGACTCCGTGCCGGCGCCGAACTGGCCTGCAGGGGGCGGCAGAGAGAGGCCTCGGGCTCCTTTCGGAGTCCGACCCAGCCTCCCTCCCTCAGATCCGGGAGTCCAGACCCCAGCCCCTCCTCCCTCAGACCCAGGGGTCCGGGCCCCCACTCCCTCCTCCCTCAGACCCGGGAGTCCAGCCCCCCAGCCCCCCAGCCCCTCCTCCCTCTGCCCCTCCTCCCTCAGACCGGGGAGTCCAGCTCGCCCCAAGATGCCAGCTCAACCCAACCGCACCCCCGATCCTCTTCAGCGTCCACACCCAGGGCTGCAAGGTGCGCAGTCCTTCCTGCGTCTTCTCCTTGGACCATCCAAGCACCAGGGCCCAGCGGGCCACCCTGGACCTTGAGCCCAGAGCCACTTGGTCCCTGGCTTGGCTCTGCCTGGGAGAGAAAGAGTCAGAGACAGAAAATGAAGGGCCTAGCAGCCCCAGATGGAAACCACCCAAATGCAGAAACAACCCAAAAGGAGGACCAGGAAGTGAACTGCAGCGTGGTCATCCCGTGGAATACTCTCTAGCAACAAAAAGAAAGAGCTGACGCTAAGCCTAGGAAGCAGGGCAGAAAATGAAGACTGCAGCATTCTGTTCCCACACGGCTCCACAGCGAGCACAGGGAAAGCTGGCTCTCGAGGGAGGCAGGCACAGGTGGCAAAGCTAGGAAGACGAGGAAGCAGTGACCACCGTCCGAGGCTGGGAAGGCGTTCCTGCGGGGAGAGAGGGGTGCTTCTGCGGAGCTGCGATGTTGCCGCGATGCTGCGTCTCTAGTTCCAGGAGGAGTTCAGCTGGGCACTCGCTATAGGAATACGCTTTGAGTCTGGACACCTTGTTTCATGCACCAGGCAAATATCATCATCAAGTAAAAATGAAAAAAAGAAACAGAGAAAGGAAGGAAGGTGTAATACTGTGATTTATAATAAGAAATATTTATTTGGCCTTTGTCCCCTTTTCTGACACAGAGCTCCTAAAACCCTCGGAGTTTCCGAAGTGTGGAGAGGGACTAAGGTGGCTTTTGTTATGTAAATGAGGTTCCTTCTGGAAAGCACCTTAGGATGGGAGCAGGTTGCCAGGAGAACCAACCACGTGACTAGAGGGTTGGAACTTTCCGTCCCAGCCCCTGATGTCTGGGGAGGGGAGAGGGGCGAGAGGTTGGATCAGTCGCCCATGGCCAATGACTTAATCAATCCTGCCTTAGTAATGAAACCTCCATAAAAACCCCAAAGATGGGGTTTGGAGAGCTTCTGGGCTGGTGAACACGTGGCGATTCAGGGAGAGCGGTGGGCGCAGAGGGCAAGGAAGCCCCGCACCCTTTCCCCATACCTTGCCTTCCAACTGGCTGTTCTTGAGTTATATCCTTTTATAAGAAACCAGTAATCTAGTAACTAAAGTGTCTCTCTGAGTTCTGTGAGCTGTTCTAGCAAGTTAATTGAACCCAAGGAGGGGTTTGTGGGAACCTCTGATGTATAGCCAGCGTCAGAAGCACAGGTGACAAGCTGGACTTGCAATTAGCATCTGAAGTGGGGGTCGGGGGGCGGACAGTCTTGTAGGAGGGAGCCCTTAACCTGAGGGATCTGAAGCCATCTCCAGGCAGATAGTTCAGTTGAAGTGTGGACCCCCATCTGGTGTTAGAGAATTGCTGGGTGGTGTGGAGGATGCCTCCCCTCCCCCACTGCCATCAGAATTGGCGCCAGGACTGTAGCACTAAACAAGGGTGAGTCACACAGGGCCCCACTCTCAGAGGGGCCCCATGGCTGCTTCCAATGCTGTTGCCATCTTGAAATGCGTAATAACATCTTTCACTGGGCCCTACGAATTATGTAGAAGGAGAGAGGAAAGACAGAAGTAAAAGAGTGACAGGCTTGGGAGAGGAGGAGGCAGAGACAGAGAAAGACAGAAAGCAGAGAGGAAAAAAATTAGTAACAGATTTCAGACACACAGAAAGAAACAGAGGCAGAGACGGGCTTGGAGGGAGAGAAGACACTGAGAGGCCAGGAGAGGGGAGTCTGGAGCCACAGAAAGACAGGACTCCTTGGAGTCAGAAAAGTAAAGACACAGAGACACAGACGGGGGCCTGAGGGAGGCAGGGAGGATGAGACAGCAAGTAGACAGAGCCCCAACAAGTGGGAAGGTGGTCCCCACCTGGCTGGGAAGTGGGATGTGGGGCCCTCACCTGTGTACCCGTCTGGCCTGCATAGGCCAAGGCAGTTCCCGGGAAGCGTGAGGTTCCTGCAGCTCCTTTTGGGTGGCTTCTGCCAAGGCCTGGATGCTCCTCCCTCCGTCCTCATCCTCCTCCTCCAGCATCCCCCAAGGCAGCACCCCAGGGCCTCGGTACCGAAGAGTAGCAGCACTGGGGAGCTCATTGAGCACAGAGGAGAGCGACGGGCCTGGTGCAGGAGGGTAGGGGGCTGGGAAGACTCAGGAATCCTCCTCCAGCCCCTCATCCCTCAGACCCAGGGGTCTGGGCCCCCAGCCCCTCCTCCCTCAGACCCAGGAGTCCGGGCCCCCAGCTCCTCCTCCCTCAGACCCGGGGGTCCAGGCCCCCAGCCCCTCCTCCCTCAGACCCAAGAGTCTGGGTCTGCTGTTCAACTTCCTCTTCCCTTATTTCAGGATCTTTGGACCCTGGCCCCTCCCATTCCTCAGACACCTGAGCCCCAGCCGGTGGTCCTCTCCTCCCCCAGGACTTGAGGCTGGGTCTCCAGACTGCTCCCCAGGACCCAGGAGTCCCCGCTGCCTTCTCCCCCAGAAACCCAGGAATCAAAACCCCTCCCCCTCTGCCCTTCAGACTGGAGTCCAGGCCTCCATTCTTCATCTCCCACAGGACTTCCGCCAGCCTGAGGGGTTGGACCTGACCCCCCAGGGCTCCCCTACCTGCTCGGGCCTCCCGGGGTGCTAGCCACCCCCCAGAGGAGCCCCAGGCCTCTGGTTCCCACGTCGGGCTCCCCTCCATGGTCCCAGGCAAAGCTGTGTTTCCGTCTCTAGGAGCGGGCTGGGCTCGGACGGCGCCAGGTGAGGGAGGGGCCAAGGGCAGGTCTGTAACTGACCGCCAGGTGGCCTGGAGGGAATACTGTGCACTTCCCAGAAACCGTCAAGGCCACTGCTGCGGGCTCTCCTGGCAGTGCGGTTCAGGGAGCAGGGACAGTAGCACTTCACACCAGGACTTGGGGGCACAAGCGCCCCTCTGTCATTGATCCCCCCCATACACACACAGTCTTTGTGCAACACTTTATTGGGAGAGCTTTACACATTCTGACCCTGTCTTGGGCCAAAGGATGACAAGAGGGTGACAGGAGCACTGGGACCCTGAGGTGGCTCAGATGGAAGCTGCAAGAACCACAGTCCAAAAGCCTGCTCACCTGTGGCTCAGTTTCCCCTTTAGGAAACGAGAGGGTTTTGTTCCTTTCTAGGTCTGAAACACTGGTTGGATGAGATAAAAGAGAGTGAAAGCCACAAGGAAGAGGTTCCCCACTCCCAGAACCTGAAGCTCCTACACCCGCCCTCTGGATCCAAAGGGCACTTGCCCGAGGAGCCGGGTGGCCCATTGGCCCTGCTGTTGGGGGAAGCGCAGCTCTCTCTGAATACCTGGAAAGAGCGGCAGGGACAAAGCGAGATTCTCATCTGGACACCTTGATTTGACAGTAGGGAAAACTGTCCTGCAGCCTTCAAGGCGAAGGGCAGGGAAGCAGAGAGCCCCCAGCCGTGCTTCATCGGAGGCAGGGTGCTGAGCTGGGGGAACGGGAATCCTCCCCAGGCCCCCAGCCAAATTCAGGACTCTTTCTGAGCAAGGAGACAGCCTGGTTCACGGAATTCCCAGGCAAAAGCTCGGTGGCTTTTGACGGAGAGAGCGTTGCGGCAGCTTACTCCTCCCGGAGCTTTTCCGGGGCAAGGCTGGTGGGCTGCGACGCCGTCTTCCTCCGGCTGGGGCTGGCCCCACGCAAAGCCAGCCCCAGCCCCAGGGCCACCAGGGCCAGGATGTGGATGCAGAAGTAGACAGACGCCCAATACCGGAGGGTGTCGCCCAGCGAGAGCAGCACAAAGCCCATGCACATGTAGTCGTAGGCTCGCATCTTCAGGAACCAGTGCACCCAGTCCCAGACCCTCTGGCCCCCGGGGCTGAGCCGTCCCCGCAGGGCAGACACCAACTGGTCCTCGGCCGCCAGGCACAGCGGGATGGTCAGGAAGCTTAGGTAGTAGCCAGGGTGGAGGCCGTGCCAGTAGGCGCTCAGCAGCATGGTCCAGGCGCTCCTGGGGGAGGCGCTGGGAGTTAGGACCCAGGAGCCCAGGCCCCCAGCCCCTCCTCCCTCAGACCCAGGGGTCCAGGCCCCCAGCCCCTCCTCCCTCAGACCCAGGAATCCAGGCCCCCAGCCTCCTCCTCCCTCAGACCTAGGAGCCCCCAGCCCCCCTTGGAGACCCCAGTAAACCTAATCCTCTGTCCTCTCCCCATTTAAGGCTTAAAGGTTTCCTGTTCCATGGCCTATTCTCCCTTAGGACCAAGAAGTCTGATTCCTTTGAGAGCTCAGTGGTTCTCAGTGTGTCCCTGGTCCAGCATCAGCGTCACCTGGGAACTTGTTAGAAACACACATTCTTGAGCTCCAGCCCACTCCTCCGGTATCAGAAAGTCCGGGGGCGGGGGCCAGAAGCAATCTTCGATGGAACAAGTCCTGGAGGTGATTCTGATACAAACCAGCATTTGAGAACCACTGTCCTAGCCCATGAAGACCCAGAGTCCCTGGTCTGTGGCCCATCCTTATTCTGGGGCCCAGGAGTCCTGGTCCTCTGCCCTCCAAGCCCCAGAGCCAGCTCCCTTATTCTTGAAGAACCAGGAAGTCAATGGTCCCTGCCCTGTAGGGAAAGAGGAACCCTCAGCCCTCCACCCTCCTCTATAACTGAGGTCCCACCTTCCTCCAAGAACCCAGGATTTCAGAAGTCTGTCCCCCCTTCCCCGCTCAGGACCCACAAGTCTCAACTCCTCTCTTCAGGAACCCAGCTCACCCTCTCCCAGCGCCCCTTTCCTTCAGCACCCAGGAAGCTGAGCCCCCAGCCGCTTCCTCCTTTGGGGATCCAGGAGTATAATTCCTGATCTGTGAAGATGCAGGCATCTCTAGCCATGGTCCCTTGTCCTTACGGACCCCAGAATCGAACTCCCTAGCCCTTGAGGACCCATACTTTCAGGTTCTGATAGACACTTCTTGGACGGGACAGAAACCACAGCAGGCTCTGCCACGGATTGTGGCATGGGTGAGGGGGGGAGGGCCTGCCTTTCTTGCCCATGGGCATCAACCTTTCCCTCTGACACATCAGGGTGCTTGAAGTACCACAAGCTAAGGACAGAATAATGCTGACCATCCCAATCTTGAGGACATAAAACTCCACAAAGAAGCTTCAATTTTTCTTGTTGCCAAAAAGAGAACTTTTCCTCCCTCTCTTCTCTTAGGCCATTTCCTTGAAAAACCTAGTGTTTGAGAATCTTCTCTGTGTCCTTTGGACATAGGTGGAGATCTTTGAAAAGGCGAAATAAGCCTCTAGAAAGCATTCCGATCCGGGCATACTTTTCTTGAGGGTCTGGGAACCATCCCTTTGAAACGTAAACGTCCCTGTCTCCCCGCCACTGTGGGGGTTTATCCTAAGCCTGGCCAGCTGTCACCACCTGCTTGTCACACAGATATGAGTTTTGTTCTACCTTCAGATAAAGACTACTTAGCCGGCACAGGTGGCTACCCCAATTCCCAGGTGACCTTGGGATGAACTTGAGAGAATGCATAGCAAAGAGTGCTGGGGAGCCCTCTTACTTGAGGGCAAGCTATGGTTTCTCTTGAGAACATGCTACGTAACGGACCGTAAGGGATGGGTGGTATAAAAAGCGTGAGATTTCTTTCCATCTCAGTAACCACATTAGTGGGTACTTGCAACATGTGTCGCAATCTGGTTTAATGCTTATTCAATAAAAAAAACTGCTTTCTTTCTTTCTTCCCAAGGTGGAGAGAGAATTCTCTGGGTGGCAGGATTTAAGGAAATTTCCTCCAAGGGGGTGAGGGAAGGGGATGGGAACAGACAGGACAGTAGGACACACTTGGCACGTTTAAACTCAACATGTGCACACCTGAACTCTTGGTCCTTGCTCCAGCCGCTCTGCTTCCATCCTACCCTTCTCTCCCATCTCGCCGCTCCCATGTAGTGAACACTCTCCAAAGAATCGTCTTGCACTTCGTCGACACTTCTCCCTTTCCGTTCTGTCTTGAACCCACTCCAATCAGGCTTTTACTTCCGCCCTCCAAACTGCTCCCATCACGCCCAACCCGGTGGTCATAGCTGTCTTCATACACTGAAGCTCCAGGCACCGTACAACACAAACCATCCCTCCCGTCTCCTTGAAACATGTGGTTCCCTTGGCTCCCTTGGTTCCCTTCTGGGAATGAACTTTCCTGATGGTCCTCCTTATCTCCCTGGCTCCCTTTGCGGGCTCCTCCTCCTGTGTCTAGTCTACACCAGGGTTTCTCACTCTTGGCACTACTGACATTTGGGGCCAGATCATTCTGTGGTGGGGGGCTGTCCCCACACATCAGGAGCATCCCTGGCCTCCACCCCCTAGATGCCAGTAGCACCTCCCAGTTATGACGAAAATGTCCCCAGACATTGCCAAGGCCCCCTGGGGATGCGGTACAATTGCCCCCTCTTGAGAACCCCTGGTCTAAGCGCATCGGAACACCCTGTGCTTTGACCTGATGCTCAGCCACAGAACTTTAGTATCACCTATACCTGCCGATGCTCAAGTGTCCACTTCTTACACTGACCTTTCCCTTACGCGCCCGAATCACATAACTAACTGCCTATCCGATAACTGCAGCTGGACGGCCAACAGCTACCTCAAAGTTAGTGAGACTAAAGCGAAGTCTCGCTTCCTCACCCTACCCATTCCAGAAATCTCTTCCTGCCCAGTCTTCCCCTGCTCTAGAAATGGCCCTGGAGTGCCCTCAGTCACTCACACCTCTCACCGGGGTATCATGCTTCATATCCTCTTTCTCACGCCCTACATCCAGTCTGTGCCAAGCTCTGACTCCACTTCTCGAATCCATCCACTTTCTGCCCACTGTTCCCTACACCAGGACACCATCATCTCCCACCTGGCCAGCCCCAAAGGCCTCCGAATTGGTCTCCCTGCTTTACCTCCTGCTCCCTCCCCCGACCTCAACTCCATTCCCCACACAGGGCCAGAGTGGATCTTTAGATCATAAATCGGATCATGCACCAGGTAAGTCTGGCTCCAGAGCAGCCATCGTTAACAGCTTCATTATGAGAACATGTCCTGGTGCATCCTGACCTCATCTGCTGGCTCCAGGATGGCTGAGTGACACTCAGCAGGTTACCTAACCTCTCTGAGCCTCAGTCTCATCTTTAAAATGGGATGATGAGTTTCTGCTTCCTAAGGTTGTAAAGACAACAACATCTTGAGTGGGACGAAATCTCCACTCAAGAAATATCCGATGAGTGAAGAATAATAAAAGCTAATAAATAGCGAGCACACACCTGTCAAGCCTCACCTTAAGTACATTTCACACTTTAGCTTGCTTAGGGCTCATATCAATCTATGAAACAGGTAATAGCATTCCCCCCACTTAACAGCTGAGGAAACAGAAATCAACCAACTCCTCAAGGTTTCTCGGTAGCTGGTAGGGTCAAATTCCAGAAGGTCTTGCTAGAGTCCAAGGGACTCGCCACACTGGTACTGTCGAACGAGGCTGAACTTGACAGAAGTAGTAACTGAGGCTCACAGAGCAGCAACGATTTACCCACGAGTAACGCAAATCAGCGGCAGCGCAACGGGACTCAAGAAACTACAACTTCCATGATTCTCAGCAGCGGAAGCCTGGCCGAGGAAGCTGCAGGGGGCCCCAAGAGCTGCTGGGAGATGTAGTTCTGCAAATGTGGCCTGAGGGGACGGGGCTCACCTGAGGACGTAGGAGCGAAAAGGCGCGCTCTTGTAGATGTACTGCGCCAGCCACCACTGCACCGTCATGTTCCAGTGCCGCATGCCCTCCCGCACCCGCGTGCAGAAGTCTGTGTCATAGCAGTCGATGTTGCGGATGGTCTCATAGTTGTATTCCACGGAAGCCGCCTTCTCCAGACTGGTGGGGTGGAGGATGAGGGTGGGGGACAGACATGCAACTCAGCCAGGCCCCCTCCCAATGCTGGCTATCCCAGCCCCAGATGCCAAGGAGGGGATCGTGGACAGGCAACAGCTCTCTGGCTGTCTCATTTGCTAAGGCAACAGGGGAAGAGTAGCCCAGAGGGAGCCTTTTTGGGGAGGAAGGTGGGGAGGGGTTGGGGGCGCAGGTTCACCAACAATGGGGTTCTCTTCCTGGTAATGGGGTCCACAACAGCCATGAAAAGCCTCCAAGGGCTTTGGATGCTAAGCTGCGCACCTTTAGCAACCTGACCTTTCAGTCTCCAACGCTAGGGAAAGGCCATTCCTCAAGCAACCAAGCTCAGTGTACTCAGAGAAGCCTCCAAGCGTGGTCCTTTCTAGGTTGTCAGACACTGCAGTTGCTAGGGAAGTAGCATCCCTAACCAGATGGTCTGTGGTTGCCAGGGAGATGTTCTAGGCCCTGTGATACCGCCATGGTCTCTGTTGCTAGAGAAAGGGCATTCCTTAGCAACAAGACAAGAGGATGCTTAGAAAAGCTTCTGGAAAGGGCCTCTCCTGGCTATTGGTCCTTAGGATTGCTCAAGAAGTATCACCTCTTGCAATATGGTGGTTCCTGGATCACTGGTGCCAACATCCCCAGCAATGGGGAATTGTCCACCTGAACCCTTGGTGGCTTCTGATAATGCGACGGGAGTCATCCACTAGGAGTGGGGCCCAGAAGGGTTAGAAAAGCCTTCAATTCCTGCTTGACATTTTCTGGGGGACACCCTCTGTAGCAACTGGAGGTCTGCCCATAGTTACCAGGGCAGTGAAAATCACTTTGTGTGGGGGTGCTGCTTCCCCCACAATGGACTGGCAGTTTGTAACTACTCAGGGATGGCCTGACTCTATTGAGGAGGAGCGGTTCATAATTTCCATTGAAGGGCTGCTCCCCTAGCCGCAGCCCTAGGCAGAAGGCCTACCAAGGTTGCTGGAAACAGAGGGGCAGTCCATTCCTGGTTGCAAGGGGCAACACAGGATCAATACTTCCTTAGCAACAAGAGAGCCCCTACTACTAACAGTGCAACTTACCTAGCAATTAAAGATCTAGGGGGGTAGCATCATTAGCAACAAGGTCAATCCATAGTAACCAAGGAACTCGGTTTCCTTAGCAACAGTAGGAAGTTGACCTGTGGTTGCTAGGAATGATGTCTCCTCTGACAGAGGACAACACGGTCAGGGATGTTATTTCCTTCGAAACAGAGAGCAACTACAGGCTGTTATGAGATGACATCCCATGGCGGGGGGGGGGGGGGGGTGGCTCCTAGCAACAAAGGGGTAGTTTAGGGGGTGCCATTCCCATAGCAACAAATAGCAAGCCTTCCGGCAGGAAGGGATGCACCATGGTTGCTAGGAAACCTGCTTCCTTAGCAAATAGAGGCAGTCCAGTTGCTAGGGAACCGTTTCCCTAGCAACAAAGGGCAATCGTCACTGCCCCATGATGGCATCTGAAGCAACCAGGAACAACTGGATTATTGGAGTGACACTTCCATGGCAACAGAGGGGCTGCACATAGTTGCTAAAATACCACTTTCCTTTTCCTAGCAACAGAGAACAATCTGCCATCCCAAGGGGTGACAAGCCTAGCAACAAGGGGCCATGGGTGGGTATAAGGAGTGCTGTTTCCCTAGGACAGGGGAAGGTAGGCTGCGGTGGCCAAGGGGTGACACTGTGCCAACAACAGGTAGTGGATCTGCCCCCTGCTCCCTGCTATCCTCCCTGCTAGGGGCAGGGCCAGCCCGTGGTGATGGGGCTTGCCGGGTCTTGGGACACCTCCCTCCCGCCGCCTGACCTGCTGGGGGGTGGGCATTGGAGGGTCGGGCCGCCCCCGGGCCGGGCTTTGGCAGCCACGGGGTAGGCCCCGAAGCCAGCGGCAATGCAGCCGCACTCGGCGGCAATCCAGGCCACGTAGAAGCGCATGCGGAAGGCGAAGAAGACGGGGATCATGTAGAAGAGGCGGTCGGGCAGCGGGCGGGCGTAGAAGGCGTCCTCGCGCACAGCCTCCAGCGGGAAGAGATGCGAGGACAGCAGGAAGAGCAGCCCGAAGAGCGGGGCCGGCCAGGCGCGGCACAGCAGGGGCCGCAGGCTGGGCACGGCCCCCGGGAAGGGCTGCTCCAGCCAGTCCAGGTACGTGCGGTAGCGGAAGAATGGGCCTGTGGCGGGAGGGAGGGACAGCTGGTCAGAGACTGGCACAGACAGGACGGGGGCGGAGCTCAAGTGGGGCGAGGGAGACAGGAAGGGATTGGGGGGGGCCAGGAGCAGAGACTAGGGTTGGGGTATGAGACCCTGGAGGGAGGGGACAGACACCCAACCCAGACAGAAGGGACAAGGAACTCAAGAAAGAAAGAGGGACAATTACAGAGAGGGACCTAAGAGCATAAGGGGTATTGAGATGCTAAGACAGATGGAGACGGAGACCAGATCCCCTCGGCAGGAAGGAGCCCCAGGAAGTACAGCAGTGCAAGTGGAGAGGAAAAGACTAGTGTGAGAAGAAATCCGGGGGGGCTGGGGCTGGATCCCCAGGGGATCCCAGGACGCCTCTGGGTTGGCTGTGGGTTTTGTTCTGAGCACTGGGAAACCCCTGGAGGCTTTTCCAACAGGAAAGTGCTGGAACACCATTCTCCTTTTCACAAAACCTCTCTGGCTGCTGAGTGGGGAGGGGCCTGCTGGAGGACAGCGATGGAAAATAGCAGCCTGTTGGCACTTTAGATAAGATACAATGATGGCCGGCCTAGGGAGGGAGGAGCGGGGATTAACAAAAAGGACAGGGGTTCAAAGCCCTCTATGTCACAAAAGACTACATAGTGTATGATTCCATTTACAAATGTTCAGAACAGCTAAGTCTACAGAGACACAAAGTCAATTAGGGGTTTCCTGGGACCAGGGGAGGATGGAGGTTTGGGGGATGATGGCTAAAGGGGTACAAGGTTTCTTTCTAGGATGATGAAACTGCTCTGCCACTACATGGTGACAGTGGTCGCACAACTCTGTGAATATACTAAAACCCAGCAAATTGGACATGGTTCTAAGTGGGTGAATCTGTCAATTACAGCGCAATAAAGTTGTTAGAAAACGGAAAACCTTCTACGAGGTCAACATGAATGAGAAATATTTTCTGAGACTAAAATGGGATCATAAGCTGTGAATGTCTGTTCCCAGGGCGACAGGAACATCCGGATTATAAAGACTTTTCTCCTTTATCTCCTGTCTCCTCCCAAGAAGCTACAAGAAATCATTAGGCTGAGAATAGTTTGTCTTCCCTGGAGGAGTCCTGGGCCCAGTGAAGAGTCAGACAGAGACCCGGGAGATGCTCACCCTCGGAGCCGCAGATGCCGGAACGAAGGGCAGGAACACAGAACAGGCACAAACTCCGGGGGACAGTGGAGACACAGGGGGAGCAATGCGGAGAGGCAGGGCACTCACCTGTCATGATTCCCACGTAGCAGTAGCTGTAGCTGAGCGTCTCCAGCAGAGAAGGGACGTCAGGCAGCAGCCCTAGGTTGGGCCCCTTGCTGAAGCCCGAGGCCATTTCCTTCCTCTGGGCCAGGTGCAGGTCCTGCACTTCACTGGCCAGACTCACCAGCTGGGAGGAAGGGGCATGGGCGGGGGACAGGTCAGACCCCGGGGCCTTCCTCACACCCTCCTCCCTTACACTACCCCTCTTAGCAGTCAAGGGATGCCCAGGGAGTGCAGCCAGAAGCTGAGGTTGCACGCCACGGGCAGCTCTGGGCATCTACAGTCGTGAGCTGCAACTTAATGCCTGCTGCTGGCGGGTGTTTCCCAGGACTCAGACCTGGGCCCTCCTGTCTTTCTCTGTGTTTCGTCTTTCTGTGCTCTCCTGCAGTCGTGGCTTTAGATACCACCCACTCTCATGACTCCCAAACACTTCCCCCTGGGCTGGACTTCTCCCCAGCGCCCCAAACCTATTCAACAAGTTGCTTCATCATCAATACTCAGATGTCTACTGGGCACCTCGAATCTAACACATGCACAGTGGAACTCAGTATTAGCCACTCCCCACACCAGCTCCTCTTCCAGCCCCCTCCCTCAGGAAAGGCCACTACCATCTAATTAACTGCACGGGCCAGAAAGCTTCCTCGAAGCCCAGATCTAATGCCTTACGTCTCTCAAGTCTGTCCCTTTTGTTGTGCCTCTACCACCAGGCTGAATATGTTCGGCCCGCCCCTCCAGATCTCTTCTCTTCCCTCCTCCACACAGACCCAAGGCCAACCCCACAAGAGAGAGCCCCAGGCAGAGATGGAGGAAGGCAGGAGAGTGATTCCCCTGCAAGATCACCTTGGGCTGACCATGACCCTAGATAGACCTTCTCAAGGTGAGCGGCTCTACACCACCCTTTTTCCTTCTGGGTTCCACTACCTGCCCCTCCTCTTGTCCCCTTGGGCCCAGGGTTGGTACCGGTTCCCCTGCTGCTGGTCCAGGATTCCTGCGCTGTCCCTTCTGGCTCCTCCATATCCTGCCCACACCGTCATAAGTAAAAGCTCCTCAAATTATTCTAAACGTGGCATTTCCTAGTGGCAGCCTGCATCAAGCCACCACTGTTTGTCACCTGGACTTTGATGCAGGAGCCCTACTTCATCCCATCTTGCCTTTTCTATTGCATTTCTACTTGCGGCGCCCAGGCGAATATTTTTTAAACACGTAGATCTGATCACATCACCTCTCTGGCAACAAACCAAAAAAGCTCTTCCAGTGGATCTTGGGCCCCCACAGGAAGAAGTCCGAACTCCTCACCTTGGCCAACTAGGCCCTGCCTGCTGTGGCCCCTGCTCCCCTTCTCCTTCCTTCTCTTGAACAGTCCATGTGGCCAGCACACAGTGGATGGAACTCAGCCTGCTGCCTTCCACACACGCTATTCTCTACATCCTGAAAGGCTCTTCCTCCAGCTCTTCTCTTAGCTAATCTATGCCTGCCTACCCTTGAACTCCCATCCTGAAGAGACCTGCTTCACTACCTCGCCTGACTGTTCTGTTCATTGACATGTCACGGGAGCCCAGCACATAGTAGGAACGCGTCACTTTTCGGTCCGGGAATCTGTTTTCACCCATTTTCCCAGGTGATCTAGAGCCAGACGTAGCTGTCCTGGTTTTGTGCCCTTAGATAAGTGCCTTCTCCCCAAACTGGTTTTCTCCTTTGCCAAATGGCTTGCTACAAAGGTGCGAGGAGAGCATGTTGGTAAGCACTTAGCCTTTGGCACACTTCAAACACCAAAGGGCACCCACGGTTACATGACTCAGGATACTTATTTACCCCAAGGAAGGGCTGAGAGGTGAAGTCCACCCCCAGGGTGTGTGGGAGAGAAAATGCCCTCCTCCTCTGATCCCCACGGGAATGGCTGCGAGGAGGAGGTGACGCTGGGGAGGTTAACTGGCACAAAGCGAAGGTTGGAAGGGAGTCTGACCTTCAGTGTCAGCAGCAGCTGGACGGCATTGGTGAAGGGCGTGGGAGTGGGCAGGCCCAGGAGGCTGAGCGCTCGGAAGAACAGGAGGTAGGAGAAGGTCCAGGCTAGGGCCAGGGCGTGGCAGGAACTGGGGCAAAGGCAGGAGGCGGGCTGTGCTGGGCACAGAGACCTGGCCTCCGCCTCCCCCAGATGCCAGCTACAAACCCTCCCCCACCTCCCCACCTTCAGAGATAGAAAACCGGGAGAGGGAGAATGAGCATGATTAAAACAGCAGCAGCAGAGGTGCAGCCACACAAAAATGAGCAGCAAAAGAGAAGAGAAGGAGGAGGGGTTATGAGAGCTTCAGGGCCAAGACCCTTCAATCTTCTGTATTTTCTTGCAGGGAAGGAGGGAGGGAGAAAGAGAGATTACGAATATGAATGCTGGCAGGATCAGCAACAAGTAATGTCCTCCTCTCTCCTGAATCCATGACATGGATGTAAAGGATTGGGACAAACACAGGGGGACAAGACCCAGAAAAAGGCAGAAGAGGAAGAAACACAGACCAGACTAAGAATACAGAGAATTCAGAGGTAAACAAGAGACTTCCAGAAACTGAGGCAGAAACGGAAGACTCAAAGAGGAAACAGGTTGCTTCCTCCTCCCCAAAATCCTTACCAGGGCTGGGCCTGAATGAGAGCCCAGGTCCCAAGGATGGTGATCAGAGAATGCAAAGTGTGGGGGCCACAGGTGAACAAGGTGAGCCCCAGGCCCACGGCTGCTGCCCCCCATCTCTTCAGTCCAGGTCCTGGAGGGAGAATGGAAAACATAAAACTGGAACCTTCCAGGGGTTCCTCCCCCCCACCCCCACCCCCATTTTCCACTGGGGAGGGAACCTGACTCACCAGCTTTCTTAAAGAGGAAGCCGATGGGGATGGAGATAAGAAGGACCACTAGATATGTCCACTCTTCGGGCGACATGGTCTGGGGGAGGGGCGGAGGTTTCTAGTGAGAACCCCAGAGTCTCAGCCCCTCCCCCTTCGAGGATTCAGGAACCCGACCCCTTAGAGGATCATGCAGTCCTACCCTCAGCTCGTCTCCTCTGAGAACTGAGGAATCTAGACCTCCAGACTTTTCCTCCTTTGATAGAAGAATCCACTCCCAACCCCGCTCTTTTGAGAACCCAGGAATCCAGACCTCCCAGCTCCCTCCTCCTTCGAGGATCCAGGAATCCAGCCCCCGGTCTTTGCGAACGCAGAAATCAAAGGTACCCCCCTCCACCCCCATTGACGACCCGGGTATCTAGACGTCGCTCCGTTGAGATGCCAGAAACAACCCCTCACCTGGCCCCTTCCCTTTGAGAGCCCAGGATTCCAGACTCCCAGCCTCCTCCTCCCTCGAGGATCCAGGAACCCAGATCTCCAGATCCCCAGCCGGTCTTCGAGAGGACTCAGAGGAGCCCAGGCCTTCAGCCTCCCCCTCTTTCGGAGCTCCGGACCCTTCCCCGGCCTAAACCCCGGAGAGCCGGTCCCCTCCCCAGCCCCGCTCCGGCTGCGCGCACCCCGCGTGGGTCACATCCGCCCCGCAAAGCCACAGGCAGTTGCGCCACCCGCGAGCTCCCGGCTCCGCCCCGCACCCGTCAGCCCCGCCGACCTGCAGCCATCCCACCTCGTCTCCGGATCCCGCTCCCGGGCCCACCTGGGGGCCTGCGGGGCAAGAGGCGGTCGAGCAGTCCCGGCCCGCGGTCCACCCCGGGTCCGGCCACGCCTCCCCCGCCCAGCTCGGCCCCGCGCCCCCGCCTCTCTCGGGGGCCGGCCAGGCTGCGCGGTCCGGAGCCGGGTGCGCGGCCGCAGACAGGGGCCTGGCTCGGGCAGGGAAGGTGCCTGGACCCGGCGCGGGGAGCACGAGTCCGCAGCTGCCCTGGGACCCGGGATCTAGGAGCCGCGACCACGTAAAGGGGCGGGGCCTCGGGCTCGGAAAGAGGAGGGGCCAGAGCTTTGGGCTCCAAGGGAACGCCACGGGACCCGGGAAGGAGGCGGGGCCTGGAGCTCAGCGTTCGGAAAGAGGCGGGACCTTCGCTTCGGGTTGCTTCGGGCAGGATCGGGCAGCAGCTTGGAGGCGGGGGCCACAAGCTTCGGAGATAGTCGAGTCCTAGAAGTCTGTGTTCGGAAGCCCGCGAGGGCCAGGAGCTTCGGCCCGACGCGGGCGGGGCCCCAGCTTCGGTTTCTTTCGGAGATAGTCGGGTACAAGCGACCCTGATAGGCTGCGCTGATAGGTGGAGTCGCGTGTTTAGGGGTAGGCGGGGCCACAGGCTTAGGCCAAACGAAAGGCACGAAGCACTCCAAGGAGGCGGGGCGAACAGCGCCCTGGCTTAAAGGGGCGGGGCCCCCGGGGAGGGGTCACGTCAGCCAAGAGGGCGGGGCCAGGGTAAAGAGCCTGACGGTCCGAAATCGCTGAACCGAATCGGCGGAGGGAGGTGCGCTTCGGAGGGCGGAGCCAAGGTGTTCAACTTGAGGGGGAAGGCGGGACTCCGGCCCCGCGGGGCGAATGCCGGACTTCCCGCTTCGCTGAGGTGGCGCAGTGACGAAATTGACGCAGGGGGTCGGCATGGCAGGGGGTGGAGGAAGCAGCGCGTGGCGCGCTACGTAGGGGGTGGCTCCGCCGGGGCTGCGACTTGGTGTTTCCGAGGTGACTAGCTGCTTCCGTCAGAGTACGGGGCGACTTTCTGAAGGGAAGCGAGGAGGCGGGCCGAGCGCTCACCAGCGGGGTGAGCCCGCCCGAGGGGACAACAGACAGCGGGCGCACAGGGGGCGGGGCCTCCGGCTGTGGGACTCGGATGTGGGGCGGGAACTCCCCAACTGGGGGAGCGCTTGCAGTCGGAGGGGGCGGGCCTCAGGCTGCGGGGTGACAGGAGCCGATGACGTCCGAACGCCGGACCGCTTACGTTCGGCAGAGGGCGGGGCTGTGCATTCGGCCGAGCCGAGAGCTCCCGAACGCCGAACCGCTTCTGACGGATAGCTGCGGGGCCGCGGATTCGGCCGAGCCGCGGACGTCCGAACGCCCGAACCACTCGCGCTCGGGCCGGGCTGGGCTTCGTTCTGTGCGAGTCCGACTCCGAACGAAAAGGCCCTGAGGCCGAACCTCAGTGTTTCGACAGGGGCGGAGCCAAGTCCTTAGTGGGCGTGGCCTCGGCGGAGGATTGGCCTCCGGAGGTCCCGACACCTGACGGGAACACCCGAAGGGAGAGGGCCGCTTTGCGAGGGGCGGCGCCAAAGTGGACCTTTCGAAGGGGGCGTGGCGCTGCCCTGGGGGCCGCTTTTCTCTCAGGCGCGGAGGCGCGAAGGCAGGACCGCAGTATTGGCCCAGGCCGAAATGCCGACCATGGGGTCTGAGCGGCCCGGCCGAGCGGGGCCCCGGCAGCTCTGCGAGGGGCGGGGTCTCGTCTCCGGCTGCCCCGGGGCCTGGCGGGATCGCCGAGGGGCGGAGTCCAGCGCTCTGGGGGCGGGGCCTGGCGCGTCTGTTCGGCAGGTGGCGGGCTGCGGCCCCCGGCGAGGCTCCGCCCCCTGAGGCCCGGCGGCGGGGCTTCCGCGAGACCCCGGAGGCGGAGGGTGCGCCGTGTCGGTGACCGCTGTGTCCCCTGGCCCCTGCAGGAGGATGCTGGTGGTGGAGGTGGCGAACGGCCGCTCCCTGGTGTGGGGGGCCGAGGCGGTGCAGGCGCTGCGGGAGCGCCTGGGCGTGGGGGGCCGCACGGTGGGCGCCCTGCCGCGCGGGCCGCGCCAGAACTCGCGCCTGGGCCTCCCGCTGCTGCTGATGCCCGAAGAGGCGCGGCTGCTGGCCGAGATCGGCGCCGTGACCCTGGTCAGCGCCCCGCGCCCGGATCCCCGCCAGCACAGCCTGGTAAGGGGGCGGGTTGAGGGCGCGCGCCCCTGGGCCTGCGGGAGAAGAGGCTGGAGGCCCGGACTGCGTGTCCCTGCGGTGGGAGGGGTCTGGGAGTCCTGGAATCTGGAGAGCGGGAGCCTGGGATCCCCGGGTTGGAGCCCTGAAGTTGGGAGGGGCCGGGGAGTCGGGATTCCTGGGTTCCGAAGGGAGGGCGTGCCTGGATCCTGACGCTCCAGCTAAGTTTCCTTCTCAGACTCTAGCATCCTTCAAGCGCCAGCAAGAGCAGGGCTTCCAGGAGCAAAGCGCCCTGGCAGCTGAAGCCCGCGAGACCCGTCGTCAGGAGCTCCGCGAGAAGATTGCGGAGAGCCAGGCTGCGAAGAAGCAGAGGCTGGAACAGGATTCGGGGGCCGGCGAGAGCCAGGAGGCCAGTGGGAACCCAGCTGCTGGAGAGAACGAGGCCAGCGCTAGCCAGGCCTCGGGAGAGCAGGAGGAAGCCGGTGAGCGTGGGAGTTAGAGTCCAGGGACCAGGAGGAGGAGGGGAGACATCTTTTAGGAATTTTGGCTGGGAATCTAGGGCCTGGGTCTCCCTGGGGGATGGAAGGACCTTGCTCCTAGGATTCACCAAACTCTCTCGGATTCATCTCCCATAGGCTCCTCCTCTCCCCAACCAGGGCCTTCAGATGGGGTGGCCCCCTTGCCCAGGTCCGCTCTGCTCGTCCAGCTGGCCACTGCCAGGCCTCGACCCATCAAGGCCAGGCCCCTGGACTGGCGTGTCCAGTCCAAAGACTGGCCCCACGCTGGCCGCCCTGCCCATGAGCTTCGCTACAGCATCTACCGAGACCTGTGGGAGCGCGGCTTCTTCCTCAGCGCCGCCGGCAAGTTCGGCGGCGACTTCCTGGTCTACCCTGGTGAGTTTGCGCTGGGGCCTCTGGGTGCTGCTCCTTCCTTCACAATCCCACCACATGCTGCAGTTTTCCTTTTTGTCTCAATTTTCTCAGCTTCTGAAACCCATGGAAGGACAGGAAACCTTTGGAACTTAGACTCATTTGGAGGGCAGTTTAGTAAATTTTGTTAAACCTTCCTTTCATCCAGAAGTTCCTCTTAGAAATACTTAGATATGTGCACAAAACACACAAGAACTATGCATTGCAGGATTCTTTACAGTATTAAAAAGTTAGAAAACAACCAGAATGATTATTAATAGGTTAGTGATTAAGCATCACTGTTAGTTGTCAGGGAAACAGCATTTAGTTGTCAGAAACTGTTGTAGGTCCCTGTACATTTATCGAAAAATGACCAAAGCGGGGGGAAAAGAATAGCTTGTAGGAAACATGTATAGTAAAAAGTAAATCATGCAGTTATATACACATTATTTAAGTAGCCTTAAAAAGTTGTGGCTCTGGGGCTGGCCCTGTGGCTGAGTGGTTAAGTTTGCGTGCTCCGCTGCACGCGGCCCAGTGTTTCATTGGTTCGAATCCTGGGTGCGGGCTTGGCACTGCTCATGAAACCACGCTGAGGCAGCGTCCCACATGCCACAACTAGAAGGACCCACAACGAAGAATATACAACTATGTACTGGGGGGCTTTGGGGAGAAAAAGGAAAAAAATAAAATCTTAAAAAAAAAAAGTTGTGGCTCTGGTGAAAGACTATGAAAAGGACTTAAGATAAAATGGAGTACTAGACTAAGAGAATCCTATCAAGCAAGTAGAAAAAGGCATGAAAGGGTGTACTCCAGCCCAACTACAGTGGTTACCCTTGGGAGTGAATTTACATTTGTTATATAGGTAAAGGAGACTTCTGATGAATCAGTTAATTTTTAATTTGTAGTAAGGGCACCTTTCTTGTATCACTAAAAGTTTAAAAAAATTGCAGAAAATCACCCTTTTTGTTCCCTCTAAGAATGTGGAAAGATCGAACTACCTGATAAGTAGTCAGATCTTAGCTATTGATTGGAGACCGTCCACTAAGTCTTCTGCAGGTGAGCCGAGAGCTGTAGTCTTTTCTCAGATTAAAGCTTAACTCACGGGCCGGCCCAGTGGCGCAGTGGTTAAGTGCGCACATTCCGCTTCTCGGTGGCCCGGGGTTTGCCGGCCTGGATCCTGGGTGTGGACATGGCACCGCTTGGCTAAATGCCATGCTGTGGTAGGAGTCCCACGAATAAAGTAGAGGAAGATGGGTGTGGATGTTAGCTCAGGGCCAGTCTTCCTCAGCAAAAAGAGGAGGATTGGCAGCAGTTAGCTCAGGGCTAATCTTCCTCAAAAAAAAAAAGTGACAGATTTAGGAGCTGGGAACAGTTTATCTGCCCCATTCTCCACAGATAACCATGGTTTATGACTTCCTTACTATTTTTTTGGTGACTTTTGTACGTAAAAATTATTTTGGCTTTGAAAATGAATATTCAATTTACTAAACATACACATGCTAATATCTAGTTCTTTTCTAAGCTTTCAGTTCAATGTACAGATCTAATTTTTTTCCAGTCGAGCAGATTTTAAGTGGCCTGTTGGTTCATGTTTGATCCCATTTGCAAAAGGAGTTAAATAGTTTTAAATATTAAGCTGCATTTTACATTTGAATATATTTATTTTGTTTTTAAGTTCTGCAGTTTTCTGATTATGGAACTTGTCAATAGCTTAAATGTAGTAAATTATAAAGGGGGTGAGTTTTAGGTTTATATATTTGAACACTGTTAATAGATTTACTAAAACTTCGGGTTAAAATAAGTTTAAATCAA